GGCTGTCCTAAATTTAATAGATGGAATGGTGGCTCTAGGTTTTTGAATTAGAAACAAGGTATGAATACCTGTTGTTTTGAATTCAAGCAATTTGAATCTGTTGGGTTACAATTCAAACAGATAACAAAAATGGGAAGGGCCTTGTTTGGGTGTACAGTAAATCCGGATCAGATTATTTCCGGTTTAATACGGGAAGGGCCCTGTTTGGATGTACAGAAAAACCAAACCAGTTTAATTTGAATTCTGGATTTTATTTTACCAAAAATAAAATTAAATTCAAATATTTTTGACCCAAAAAGATTAGTATTGGGCTGGACAAGCCTAATCCAACCACACACCACACACCCGCGCCCAAGCCCAGCCTGACCGGACGGCGGCGGCGCGCGTGTGGTGGTTTTTTGAGTCCAATGGGTCTAGCCCATTTTGCCCATAACGTCTCCCTCTAAAACACTTGGGTACCCCTTGGGGCACACCCCAAGTATCAAACCCATGCCTTATAAACCATTTCAAAACCTCCCACCAAATCAATGTGGGACAAGCCTTATTCAAACCTTTAAAGAATTTCCACCAAAACTCCATTTCCATGGTGCACACTTTAGATTCAATTTCTCATTCACTCGGTAATGGTTTTGAGCAACCAAATATATCACGTGAATCACAATGCGGCATAGAACGCGTTACCACTTTGACCCGTGAAAATCGACATACGGGGCCCACCTAAAAAATAGACCGAACTTAGGATAAAATTCTGATTTTATCCAGAATTTATAACCATTTCCAACAGAATTGCCTTGGTAGTCCTATCAATCATGACACCATATCGAATCCAACAACGCATTTCCTTTTTTTTTTTTGTTTTTTCTTCTGATTAGATTACGCGTTTTTTAGGATTAGATTACGCATACTTTAATTAATTTGAAACTCATGTAAAATACCTCTTTTATATAAATTAGACAAATCTCAACAGATTTTTCGAGTTTGTAGCCCCAAATAATTGATAGTATTTAGTAAGAGTTGAACAACAAGTGATCGAGACCAAAAAAAATTTTAAAAAAATGAGAGATTGAGACAAAAAAATATGTAGTGATCTCAAATTACCAAGTAATTACTCCCTAATTTATATTTTTTTTGGATTAAATGTATATGTTTTGGTAACCATACACTACAAGAAAACTGGGTATATGAGACGGAACTATTTGCGACGGCACACTTGCCGTCTCAAAAAGTCACTTTTTGAGACGGCAGACTGCCGTCTTTGATTTGCAAACTTTAGGTCAAGACTAATGCATTTAGTTGGTTTTGGGTGACATTATTAATTGCACATACGAATATAGTATGATATTTTAATTATTATTTATTTATTTATTTAATTATTATTATTTTTGGGTTTGGCTATCTCAATACACTTTAGTTATCAAATTATTGAGGCATATGAATATCAAGAAATAATTCAATAACTAATAGAATATTAAAATAGAAAGATAGAAAAATTTCATAACAGTTAATTTCGTACTATTAATATATGTTGGAGGTAATTTTAAACAACCACGTTGCTTGGTAGAGGTATGCAGTCAAGTAGGACATGTAGTTGGCCGTCCGACTAGTTGTTCAATCAAATGTCTGGTCAGGAATATTCAAGCGGGCCCGGGCATAGGCTCACTACGTCTTGATTTAGGATCCTTTAAAATAAATTCAAAAAAGGGTTCCCTCTTATTATAATTTAGTGTAATATATTAGATATATTTTAAGTCCAAAAAAAAATTAAAGAAGACTTAAACTAACCTAAAATAAATTGATCTATTAAAAAATTAAAAGGCCCATTCAAAATTAAAAGCGCTTATTCTCTCTTCCTATCTAATTCCTAACTCTAATTCTTAATTCATTTTTTTCAAAAATTTGAGAGAAGTAGCACAACAGAGCACTAACGAATGTCTCAATAATTCAGACCAGTAGCACAACACAAGTAGGTCTTGTTTTTTTTTTTTTTCTATTCAATTAATTAAAATTTTGTCTTGTCTTTTGCTCAATTGCTGTTATAATAATGGTATTTATATAAATTTGCATTATCAAGAAGAATTAATCTTTTGCTACTTGTGCTAAATTTTTCGTTGAATGAAAAAAAAAATGTAAAGGGCCCCAAATGATTTAATAATATTTATTAGTTGATTATCAGCTTTGGACCCCGAAAATCTCAGGGCTGGGAATATTGTTCAGACGGGTGAAGTTCAAACAAAATGTGGATCAAGTTAACGATAAGTCCACAATTAATAAAATAGTAGTTATTACTCCATATAAAAACATCGGACAAGAAGACAATATCCCACCTAAGATCAAGCATAGATGAACGATTACATGCAATATGATAGTACAACCTACAATTGTGACTTAGATATTATAATGTCCCGACTGAATATCCCAACTAACAAAAACTTATTGTTTGTAATTACAGGTCACCAAAGAATCATAAGAACTTACCAATATTAACACACAACTTGTATTTATCCATTCATTTGAATGATAGATTTTCTTCACACCATATTCATATATGTGTGCATGTATGATGGTGACATTCAAACTCTCATTTTTTATAAATACATGTCATAATGTCATCATAATTGGTACCAATTAAATAACAAAATATCTAAGGTGTAATTATCACAAAGAAAAGAGTGCAGATAACAATCTTAATAAATGATTCTTTTTGACAATGAGTCACATACAATACAATATTGACATTTCATGCAGCGTTCACACGGTTTGATCACCAAGAAAATAGATGGTCGCAAAGTTGGGCTTTTGTTCTTCTCTAGGGGAGACTTTGTGTTGTTTGATGTTATTTGATTCATTTCATATATAATTTGGCACTTGTGGTTTTTGTTGTGCTGATCTCGTTGTCTATGTTTAAAGTTAAGATAAAATTACGTAATTTTAAAATGTATGATTTTGATATCATTTTATTTTAGTTTTAATTTAGAACCGTTAGATTATATTTTGCTTATGTGTCTTGTGTGATGAAAAAAAAAAAAAAAACTATATTTGGTTTTGAGTTTTCATATACAGTTTTTGAGTTTTCATATACAGTTTTCATAATGTTGAATTCAAAACAAACAAGTAAATCATTTTCAACATCTATAAGTGATTTGTAAATAAAAAAACTCATACACAAAATCTCACAAAAATGAGGTGACAGTGCATTTTGAAAATTGTAAACTACTTTAATGAGTTTTTTTATTTTATTTTTTATTATTATTTGAAATGAATAGATACAAATTTGCCATGTGATTCTATATTAATTTTTGTATGTGTTTCATATTTATACATCATCACTCTCATATATTATATAAAGTAATATCAATTTTTATTTATTTAACCTTTTAAATGTTGATTTTTTTCAAAATTCGTAAAATATTTTGATTTTTGAATTTTAAATTTAATCGTATATTTCACAATCTTAGAAGATAACAATCATATGCACACACCACACCACTTCTAGTTTTAGAATTGCCAAATGGTGTTGTTCAAGACTCTTTGAATCAAGAGGGCTTTTCTTATGGGCCGAGCCAATAAATTATATATTTGGGCATATGGGTTGAACTATTTACTTCTTCTCCCTCTTCTTCATTTTTGTTTTTATTTTTATTTTTTATAAATGATTTACAAATTCAATAATGAACAACAAAATATTTCATTATATTTAATGTAAATTACACTTTATTCTTTAAAATTGTCAAAGTATGTAACTTTATATAACATAATTCAAATTGATGGAAATAGATAAATTACACATTTCATTTGTTAGATAAAATATTGGACCAATTATGTATAAGTTACATGGCAATTTCCATCTTATTTATGTAATCAAATATCTACATTAATATTAATTTATAAATTAAGGTGGTAAATGTAACATTTAAAAAAATAAATAAATTTAGGGACAAAATAATACTAAATCGTAGTTAGGGATAAAGGCCATGTTTGATTCACAACACTAATAGTGAGGTATTAATAACCCTATTAAATTAGTGTGGTATTAGTTATCCCACCCCTACCCCATTACTAATAATCCTACAAATTTGTTGGATTAATTATCCATTGGATTAATAATCCTAAACTAAAATGTCAAAACAAACATAGGATGATTGGGCCCACGGATTAATAATCCCAATCCTATGCTTTAATCCTTCCAATCAAACATGCCGAAAGTGTAATAATTTGCCCAAACATAATATCCAATCTATTTGGCAACGAAAGGGCCGTTAAGTATTTATGTTTTATTTGACGATAGATAGAAAGTCATATTCTTTTTATTTTATTTTAGTAATTTGTTTTTTAAATTTGTGTTAAGAGTTTTTATTTTTCTGATCCACATAGTCGAGAATAATTTAAAAAGTTAAAAAAATAAATAGAGTTTAATAAAGATAAAAATAAATAAATAAAGTTTTAATACTTTCTATTGCTTTTATTGGACTTTATGTACCCATTTGTTTATTTTTTCAACTCAATCTAGTCTAATAGGACTTTAAATAAAGAGGTTTATTTATTTTTAATTAAAAATGAAAATAACAACCAAATTATTAATAACTCAATTGCCAAATCCATTTTAGACTAAATGCAAGTGATAAAAAATGAGAGAAAGAAAAAAAAAATTATTTAGCACTCTTATACAACCCTTATTAATATTGCAATTATATTTTTAATTTTACAAATATATATATATATATATATATAATTGTTTTTTCAAATATTAAAAGTACAAAAAAAAAAATTAAATTTGTCATGTGATATTTATAATTAAAATTTCAAATTTCAATACACTCCTATCTTTTTTTTATTCCAAATTTCTTTATCTTGATCAAATGTTTCAACGAAAAAATAAATAAATAAATAAAATTTTCTTTTTACGCAGTCCGTCGATTAGTAAGGTACAAAAGCATCCGAACCGTTGATATACTCCCACCAGAATCTCTTCGACATTTTTTTAATAAAAATAAAAAAATACAAAATCTCAGTGGAGATAAATCAGTGAGAGAGAGGAGAGAGAGAGAGAGAGAGAATCAGAGCGAGCGAGGCTTCAACTGAAAAAATGTCGGGCGTGACGAACCAGGAAGAAGACAACAAACCCACCGATCAATCTGCACACATCAATCTCAAAGTCAAGGGCCAGGTTCGGTTCCCCCCCCCCCTCTCTCTCTCCTACTCTCTTTCTCTCTTTCTCTATTTTATGATAATTGTTTGATCTTTGATTACTCTCAGTTTTGTTTTGTTGTTGTATGTATCTGTGTTTATGATCATGATTTTCTCAATTAATCCCCAAATGGGTTCTAGGGTTTTCGAGGTTTTGATCCTTTGTTGATTCTTCATTTTTGTAATCGTGCCGGTAGGGTTTTTGGGGTCTGATCATGAATATTTTTGGATGATTAAGCTTGATATGCAATTTGATTGCTTTGATCTTTCACATGGAAGTTGCAAGTTTCTTTTTTTCTAATTATGTTTAATTTCATTTGCATGGTAGATGGATATGGAAATGGAATAGACACCCAGATATAAGTACATTAGGGGTTTAGAATGATCTGCTTTTCTCAGAACTTTGATCAAATTTAGTAAAGCAATGGTAAAAGAAGGGGAGAAACTATTGTTGCTTAATTCTTGCATGTTTTTTCGTTCTTAGTTTTGTTGTGGAAATGATGAAGTTGGTGATGGTTTATGTGCCCGGGCGGCATGCACTATAAAATGTCTAAAATTGAAATCTCAAATTTACCGCCACCTGTTGGCCGCTATATTGGTGTTATTGAAATTCGCAACTGCAATGGCTGCCACCTTAATGCATTATGGTACCGTTATGGCCGTTCTGACCGAAACACTTATGTTTTCAACAGATTTTGTATATAAGACCACTTTCTCTTTTTGTTCTTCTTTCAAGCTGTTAAAATCACAAAAAATGCACATAGATTATGTGGAAATCTTAGTTCTACATGCCTTGAATGCCCTAGTCTTCAAGTTCTTGAAGATTTGGGTTGCTATCAAGGTCAAATGGGCTTAGTTCACACTCCCCCCCCCCCCCCCCATGTTCTTTTCAATCATTCGTTATTTTTGTTTTTTGATCAACAAACTTCCATTATTTTTCTCAGTTATAAACTTATATATATTTGAATTTAGGTTAATTTTGTTAAACATAACTTGGATATCATGTTATTTACTTTTACATTAGCATGTTGAAATTTTGTATTATGAATTGTGTTCATGATACTATCATTTTTAATATTAAAATACCATTATGGTTTTTATTTCATAAGAGGGAAGTTATCGAAAAGGACAATTATTAATAATAAAAAATTAAATACACCCAAAAAAGGAAAAATCTCTATAGCAACTTAAAGACTACTGTAAAAATTAATAGATATATTGAGTCAAGTTTAAAAATTAAACGAAACTCGTAAACGCCAAATCTAGCCCTTCCTTTTTCAACCCATCTCCACCGCCACCCACCATCATCGGCGCCGCTGGTTCGGCGACGCTGGTTCCACCGATGGCCCCTACTCCACTCACACTGGTAAAGAGAACTACCACACACCCCAGCGAACAACAACTCGCGACGGTGTACTTTCAGAACTTCTTATATGTAGCCGAACATAGCCCAAGTCCACTGACGTCTCGTCCGCTTCCACAAAATCACCACACTGATCGCTGATGTTGCGGTATACCTCTTCCCCACGAAGATGAATGGGCAATCACCCGAATCTAGACGCTCTTTCTTCAGCGACAAAGTGTCCTCCAAGTGCATAAGGCTAGCGGTGACCACCATTCCAACATCAAATCTTGCCCATTGGCAGTCCATCGTTGGCACAGCAACATTTCTGCCTCTCGTCGCATTGCAATGTCCAGGATTGGGAGCAAGCTCAGCTGGCGGAACTTCAAAGTTTTTTATATAGTTTGCATCTTGGGAGGGCAGGTCAGGATTCCTTGGGTTGGAATTGTCCTAAAGTCAAAGGTATTTTTATGGTGTCTTCTTTCAATGGGGTGCTTGTTTAGGATGTGTATGCTCATGATGTCGTTATGGTTTATCTGTAGAAAGGTGTTTGGGTGCTGAGCTCGTCATCCAAGGTTGCCTTTTTCATTTGGACAACGAGCTTGGGCCGTATCTTGACTATTGATAATTTGATTTGTCGTGGGCATATTTTGGTGAATTGGTGTTGTCTGTGCGGGTAGGGCACCGGAGTCGATTGGCTATTTGCTTATTCATTGTCCGGTCTCTTCTCGTTTTTGAATGTGTGTGATTGCAGTTTTTGGTTTAGCTTGGGTTCAACCGGGTTCTGTGTTCGCAGTTGTGCAAAGTGGGGTAAGGGGGAAGGTTGGGAGGAGACGTCGAAAGGCTTGGATTCTTGGTTTGCACTGTTTAATATGGTTGATTTGGTTGGAGCGTAATAGGTGGGTGTTTCAAGGGGTGGCTCACACCATTCCGTGGTTAGAGAGGCGGTTTCTTATAGTTTTGTATAGTTGGGTGATAGGTTTAGGAGATCCGGATGCACTGGCTTTTGTAGATTTTGTGGATGATTTGATTTGCTAGTTTGCTCAAGTTTTTGAGGCTGTTTTTGTATTCTTTGCATCATCTTGATGCTTTCTCAATAAAGTTTGGTTATTTATCCCCCAAAAAAAAAAAAAGCTAAACGAAACTCATAAAGAATCATTTTGAACCCCATTAAATAATCATTTACTTTCTCTTATTTATTTTGTTTCCTATCAAAGAAGCATCAGTAGAAGGTTTTTTGTTATGGACTTGCTTGGAATGAGGATTTGTAGAGTTTCAACAAATGAATTTGATCAACAAGTTTTAAACTCAAATATGCAATTGTCCTAGCTGTAGCAAGTTAAATGTAATTGATCCTTGTTTCCAAATTTGAAATTGAACTGGGTGAAGAAAATAATGTTTGAATAAATAATGTGGCGTTGAATGGACTGAAGTAGTATGTTCATTTTATTAACTGTTCACAGCTGGTTACTTTTACGCAAGCAGATAGGAATATTATAAGTGTAGATGGGGTTAAGCCTTTCTCCAGTTAAATCTTAGGAATTAACTGTGTATACATTTTTGTGGTTATTATTATAGGAGCCAATGTGGAGTAAAAAGTACAGAATTTTTATAACTGCCTTTTGTTATTATTTAGGAGCCTAAATCAGCTCCATTGGCCGTTTCTGAGGCTAGATTGTTGGGCTTTTGTGTTTATTAAGCTACATGCTTACCATTTGTTTTGGTTTTTTGCAATGCTTACTTTTGTATGTAGCAATTATCTACTATTTGTTAATGATTTAAACCATGGTTATCAGAATTTTGATCCAGATCATAGGATCTTACGATACTACTATCTTAGTTAGGCCAAACGACCCGAATCACATTAGGATCTTAAATTTAGTAGGATCTTAAAGTGATTACGATTTTATTCATAAAATCATGTAGAATCGCATACGATTCAGATTCTATAATGATTCCGATTCTACAATTTTTTTTGTTATTATTTATTTCTTATATATATGTATATTTATATGAAAAATTTGACTACAAATTCCTTTTTCAATCGTCCCTTCTAATTTATATTAACATATAAAGTGCATTATATCAAATTTATCACTTTTCTTTAGTCTTTTTAAAATTGTACAACATACATTATCATTATCCATAAATTTTCATTTTATTTTGCATTGAAAGTAAAATCTTACGATTCTCGATCCGATTCTACGATCTGATCCACGAGTCCTTTCCAACGATTCCACTTAAGATTCTGATTTTAACAACCTTGATTTAAACTATGATAATTATCATGCTGTAGTGTACAAGATTTTTTGGAATTCTGAATTAAGGGTTTTGTTTTATTTTTGTGAAGCTTTTGAGATAGATCTAAAGAGATTAAAAAATATAGATATAGTAAAATTACTTCAACAATATGTTTGGTCATTTTATGATGATAAGATTTTTCTTTCTACAATTTTATATAAGTTGGAGATAGGTTATTAAAAATAATATAATAAAATTACATCAACAATATAAGTTCGTTTCTTTTATGATGAGAAAATTTTGACAATTTGTTTTGAGACGTGTTTGTGCCGAACAAAGAACGAGTGTTGTGATTTCTATCTTCTAAGCTTTCTTTTTGAATTGTGACAATTGATTTTAGGTAGGATTGATCGTTGGAAAGACTAAAAACTGAAGGTGTTAGCAAAAATGAAGATGACAGTTGATTGTGCCTTTTTTATTGCTAACATGTATTGGTAAAAGTGATTTGACGACTGTATGATTCATAGTTTTACTTTAGTTAACTAGTGTGGTTTATGTTAGGCTTTCTTTTTTGTTGGGCTTTTTCCCCGTCTAGGCTGGGGCCTCTTTTACCAAAAAAGATATATAAACTATATGGGGCCTTAATTCTGGCATGTAGACTTCAAAATTTTTGGGGACCTTCAAAAAATGGGTGCCTACAGCTAGAGCTTTTTTGGGTTTATGCTTAAGCTGGGCCCTGAAGGTTGTCTTTTGGTGCAGCTGCCAGTTGCTCCTTTGATTACTTTCCTATATTGTTTTGATGTTGATGCTTTTGCTATGTAACTCTTGTAATGATATGCTTGATACCCACTGGTTGATTGAAATATGCAGTCAGTGGTTGAACTACAACAGTGAGTGAAATGTGATGTCCAACAAAAAAAACAAACATGTTTCACGTTTTTTATGAATAGGAAAAAAAAAAAAATGGCAACTTTACTGAACACCACCTTAGTAAGCTTATGTCCTTTGCTTTTGTTAGAATATGTATGTCCTCATTCTTTATAAGCCATTTTTTTATGATACCCTATTTTTTTTGGTGATACACTGCTCTGGGAAGTCAGTGCTCCATTGTTTTATTTGCAATAGTAGATTACATTTTCATGATTGTTAGTGTGGGCTTAAAACTGTATTTTTATTTTGGGTAAATTACACTTCCACCCATATGGACCTTTTTTCATTTTGGTCTTTAAAGAAAAGCTTATCCCATTTAGGTCTCTAAACCATCATACAGAAAATACATATGGTGAGTCTAAAATAAAAAATAAAACTAAGCAAATATGGCTGTGTTTTGTAGGATGGCAATGAGGTGTTCTTCAGGATCAAGAGAAGCACGCAGCTGAAGAAGCTCATGAATGCTTACTGTGATCGACAATCAGTGGAATTCAATTCTATTGCTTTCTTGTTTGATGGTCGTCGTCTTCGAGCAGAGCAGACTCCTGATGAGGTCTGTCTGTCTGTCTCTGTCTCTCTGTCTCATATTATATATATATTTGAAGGTTCTTACTTTGAAGTTTGTTGTTTCAGCTGGAAATGGAGGATGGGGATGAGATTGATGCTATGCTGCACCAAACTGGGGGATCTTCTGTCTAGTTATGGGAGTTTCTCAAGTACTTATGGAACTGTACCATACAATAATAAGCCAATCGTCTTCACAGCTAGTCGTTTTGTTTCTAGGTTTTACTGTTAAGTAGTAGTTGGTGTGATTCAGTTGCTTGTTATCAACACTGGTTTGTTATTCTGTTCTATGCTCCTGACAATGTGTGAATGTTATTGAGTTTGTGCTTGGTCCAAATTCAAGGGCTTTAAAGATTGCAAGCCCTGTTAAAGTACATTGTGATCTGAAGTATTTTGTAGAGTCGTCGTCTGGTGATCTTTTGGTGGTCTTCATGTGTGGGAATGGTGGGGCTTATCTCGAGTGAAAATAATGAAAATTAATGGCGTACACAATACTTGAATTCCATAGGATATTGCTACATAGACAACAAAAGAAGTGCCTTAATATGATTATTTCATGACAATTGAATCACATCAGAGGTTGGGTAAAATTTGCACTTAATTTCTATAGTGTAATTGAATCTTGCTCTCATCAAGAACCAGAATAGAAGAGCTTGCCCTACTTATTGAGTAAATATTTACTCATGAGAATAATTTTGTCAAGTTCTACTGGACATGTACATTATAAACTAATTATTTGAAATTTGAACTTCTCCCGTCTTGATCATACTTATTTGTGTGTGGAATTCATGTAATCACAGGTAATTATTCAGTAGTTTTGGAATACTATGTCATTACTTACGTGGTGTTCCAAAGTTTAGTATGTATTGCAGTTTCTCATTTGCTAGGAGTACCATGTTCACATTGCTATTTAACAATTTTCCTATAATAACCCACTTGAAAAATCTTTTTTTTTTGGTTATCCAGAAACACTGCTATTTCAAGACTGTATTTCAAAGTTCTCAAGTTTCCCAAATACAGTGATGTTATTATATACATCAACTTATTTGATACCACAAATTGTGTTTATTACACATGATTGTGCATAAGAAAGAAACACAACCTCCAATATTGTGCCCTCTTATTCATCATCTGTCATCGTCTTCTTGAAGTTGCCCTTGCCAACAGGCTCCTTGTACCTCTCCTTCAGAGATTCATCTCTGGCGTCTCCGAGTGCAGCCTCCTCAGTGGCATCTTGCACCCTTTTGCTAGTCTGACTAGCAACGCCTTGGTGAGCCTTTGCTTCTGCAACTCTCTTGAATTCTTCGGCTACTCTTTCGAACTCTTCAGCCATTGTCGGAGCTTTCTCCTTTCCATGGCCATTGCTTTGTTTGCTTGGTTGACTATATCTCTGAAACATCATAGACCCAAATTAGAATACTAAATTCAGGTTTTTTTATAAAAAAGAAAAAAGAAAAAAGAAAAAAAGTCTTGATTGGTTGGGAAACTTAAATAGTAACAAAGTTTGTTTGCTTGCCTATTCTACCAAGTTTGATTTGTGTTGATCACTGTCGGCAACGTATATGGTTATTTTTGTCACTTGCTAAATTGTAAGAGACATGGGATCGTATATGGTTATATTGTTTGTCACTTGCAAAATTGCACAAGTGGCATGGAATCATATACGGTTATTTTTTTGTTACTTGCGAAAGAACGAAAGTGCAAAAGTGACGGTGAGATTCTTTGCAAGTCTAGCGTTCAAAACTTTAATACTTTATTTAGTTGGAGGATTTAATGCTGTGTTTAGTTAAGGGATTTGGAAAGGGAAAGATAAAAGATGTGTAAAAGGTGTGTGAAACTATGTGAAATGTAGGTATATTTTTTTTACATTTCACTTACCTTTTCTATTTCCCTTTCCAAATCCCTCCTCAAATCCCTTAACCAAACACAGCATAAGGAGGAATTATTTGGAAAGACAAATGGAAAAGATAGGTGAAATGTAATTTTATTCACATTTCACCTAATTTTACACATCTTTTTTCTTTTTCTTTTCCTTTTCCTTTTCAAAGTTATTTCTAATGCTGTGTTTGGTTGAAGGATTTAAAGAGAGATTTGAAAAGGGAAAGACAGCTTATAATTTATAATTGTGAACATGTGTGCTAGGTGAAATGTTTCACCTAATTTTTCCTTTTCCCTTTCCAAATCACTCCTCAAATCCCTCAACCAAACATAGCGTAAATCTCCTAATCAAACACAACCTAAAGGCTCATTACTTGTTTTGAAAGTTTGGGATTGAAGAGGCTCATTACTTGTTTTGAAAGTTTGGGATTGAAGAGGATGAGTAGTTTGATGACTTGTTCATGCTAAATTGAGTAACATTGTCAATTCTATCTTAAACTTCTGGAGAAAATTTTCATTTTGTTTTTTGAACAAAAAAAATTGAGATAATTATCAGAAAAATTCCCACAAAAGTTGCTACAATTGAATTGAAGATATTTAAGTGTGTCAAAAAAAACTAAAAAATGCTTGTAATAGCTCTGAAATGAGTCTGATCTTGAGATGATCTAAACTCTTTACTAAGCTATAAAAAAAAATTCTAAAAAGGAAGAAACTTAAATCTCAAATAGTTAATCCAAAAGAACAAATACAACAATAAGCTTAAAAACATTCCTATATAGGAAGTTTGAGATTCGATTTCTCAAGTTAACAAGTTTAGTATAACATAAAATTTTGCCTAGACTGGCCTAGCAAGTGAAGATTTTAGTTATATAATAAGCTAAAAAAATTTTAAACGAGTACTAAGTTATCAAAGAATAAAATAAATAAATTATTAAGAAGTAAAGTAAGAGATGAATGATGTGTACTTACCCTCAAGGGAGTGAAGAGGAAATAGGCAGAGAGCGGGTTGAAACGAGAAGCTCCTCGGGAAGATGTGTAGTAGAAATGGAGAAGATGGTTGCTGCTGCTGCTGCCCATTCTGAGTTTAATTTAAGGCAGAAATAGAACGGCGTTATACTCAACTCAATCACTCCATTATTTATCCGTTAAATGGTGGTGCAATGCATACGTGTCTGCTTTGTTTTGCAATGGCTACGTGGCAGTCAGACAGGTTACCGACCCCATCACATTCATGACTCATTCAAATAGTTAGATGCTGTTTTGATAACGTTTACAGTTGATATGAAATATGTTTATGTTTATGTTTATGTTTAATTTTAGTAAAAATAAAAATAAAATATATGTTTAGGTGCCGTTTGGTAATATTTAGGTAGCGTTTGGTAACACTTACGTTTTCAGTTTTCAGTTTATATTTACAAAAATTTAAAAAATTGTCATAAAAACTTGTTTGGTAAATATTTTGATTTATAAACCAGTTGTCTCAGTTTATAAATTTGGCCAAAATGAGTTTACTTTTTCAGTTTTTAGTTTTTTTTTTTTGGACCACCCACCACTCGCCACCACCTGCCACTATTTTTCACCACCGTCTTCCGCCACACCACCCTCCACCACCGTCTTCTGCCGCCACCACCCGCCACCACTACCACCCGCCATCACTTTCCACTACCGTCTTCTGCCACCACCACCATCTTCTACCACTACCACCCGCCACCACTTTCCACCACCTTTTTCCGCTGCCACCACTGCTATCACTTTCCACTACCGTCTTTCACCGCCACCACCCGCCACCTGCCACCACTTTCCACCACCGTCTTCCGCTGCCACCACCTGTCACCTGCCACCACTTTCCACTATTATTTTCCGCCACCACCATCTGCCACCACTTTCCACAATCGTTTTCCGTCACCACCCTCCATCACTATCTTCTGCCCCCCACCACCCACCACCTACCGCTATTACCCATCACCCGCCACCCGCCATCATCGTCTTCCGTCACCACCATTCGCCACCACCGTCTTCCGTCGCCACCCACCTGCTACCACCGTCTTCCGCTGCCACCACTCGTCACCACCCACCACCCGCCACGCCACCACTCACCATTTCTCATTCTTTTAGTTTATATTTTTTAAAATTTTCAAACATTTTGTTCAAATCAAACGCGTTTGTAGTTTATGTTGTTTTAAAAATAAACAAAAAATCAGTTTATAAAATTTTTATAAATATAAACTGAAAACGTAGTGTTACCAAACAGACCCAATGTTACTAAATATGTTTTGTTTGGCAATCATTAATTATTTGTTTCTAATCATTTGAGTAAAAAATTAAAATATCAAGTGATATTTTTAAGCTCAATAAGTTGTTGGTCCTCCTCCACCATCCATTGGTCCCGTTCGGTAGAGTTGTGGGAAAGTAATTATAACTTATAACTTAACAGCTTATAATTTATAATTGTGAACATAAGCTGATTTTTGACTTATAAATTAAACTTCTCCTCCCCCATTCAAAAAATAAGTTAATTTTTTACTTATAAAAAGTTATAAGCTGTATTATTAAGCTAAATCAAACACATCAAAATAACTTAAATTAAATTAAAAAGTAAAATAAACTAAAAATAAATCTTACCAGACAGGACGACTGTCGACTATCAGTCGCTAACAACTCTATAATGACTTCAAGCAACCATCCGGTGACCTTCTAGTTTGGCAACCTTTGATGGTCCTAATGTAGCCTATGATGGTACTTGGGTGTCCACATCCTGCAACAATCATAATGGATCACTCTGTATTATTAGGCATTTATCTTTAATTACTCACTTTTTGTTTATAAAAAAAATTATTTATGTAAATTAAATAAAATATTTTTGTTATTTTTATTGAAAATAAAAAATAAATAATCATTTTACTTTAAAATGTGAGAGAAAATAAAACAATAATATTATGAACTTATCAACTCATAAATTATTTAAAATTATAATCTTATAATTCAAATTTATTTTATTTATAAATCTCACATTTTATAAATTTAATTTCGACTACATAATCACTAATCAGAAAATTTTGAATTGTTAAGTCTGGGTAACACATTTATTCAAAAAAAAAAAAAAATGCTCAGTTAGACAAAAAAAAAAAAAAAAAACCCCCATCATCTCGTGACGTGGGGATTTGTAAAAACATCTCGCCCACTGAAGCTGATCAACCCCCGCATACATACGATCGCAACCCACTTTGACGCCGTTATTCTCCTCCGTTAGGGTTTATTCTGACATCCGTCTTCACTCACTTCGATCAAAAAACCCTTTGCGAACTGCTCTCAAACTATATGCGCAGAGATCAATGGAGTCCAACGGAGGCGACGCGTCTACAATTCTTCGCGAACTCGAGAATTTGAAGTCTTCGAAGATCGAAATCGAGCGCAGGATTTCAGTTCTCGAAGCTCAGCTTCGTCAAAAGGAGGACGAGACCAAGGTCAATTCGACTAGTTCATGTACTCCGGTGTCGGACTTGGATTGTCGCCGGAGATGATCTACAGATACAGTCGCCACCTCTTGCTTCCTTCCGTTGGTGTTCAAGGTTTGACTAAAACTCACCTGTTTAAGCAAAACATGCAGATGTATTGAATTCGTGTTTGTTTAGCTGCACGGAACATCAACGCTCCGTTTGTTTGAGAGACGAAAAATATTTTTTTACGTTTGGTAGTGGTGGAGGTGGTGGCATGGCGGCGGCAGTTATGGGGACGGTGATGGTCAGGCCCGGCCCTGAGATTTCTGGGAGCAAAAGCCGATAATTAACTGAAAATGTTTTTGACCCTTCACATTTTTTTTTTCATTGAATGGAAAAAAAATTGAAAGTAAATGACAAAAGATTTATGTCAAAATTACAAAAAATACTGAGCATTACATTACAACAACTAATAAGAATCGCTTGATTCTTGCTCTTTTTACGTTTTTAGAAACAAATAAATCAATCATACTTGCATAATCTATTTTTTTTGCAAAATCATTTTCAATAGATAATAATGTTAATTATTTTAAATGAGCCTTTTAATTTTTTTAATGAGTCAATTTATTTTAAATTAGTTTAGGCTTTTCTTAATTTTTTTAGACTTAAAACATACCTAATATATTATACTAAACTATAATAGGGATCCTTTTTTGGGTATATTGTCAATGATAATAATGCTAATTTTTTTGAATGTGCCTGCCAATTTTTGAATGGGTTAATTTATTATAAGGTAGTTTGGGTCTTCTTCAATTTTTTTAACTTAAAATATACTTAATATATTACACTAAATTATAATAAGAGAGAGCTCTTTTTTGGGTCTATTTTGAGGGCCCTAGACCATGGCCTGGTAGGCTTATGCCCAGGGCTGGCCCTGGAGATGGTGATTGTGGCCGTGGTGATAGTGGTGTGGTAGTGGAGGTGAGAGTAGCAGTAATGGTGCGGGGTGCGGTGCGCAGTGATATCGGTAGAGACTTTAATTAGGAAAATGTTTTCCTCATTTCAAAAAAAAATAGGCTTTTTTTCGGTTGATGATTGTTTTTTTCATTTTTCATCATATCAAATGTTAGAAAATATGGAAAATATATATTTATTTTTTAGAAAATATTTTCTGTCTAAACAAACGAAATGTAATTCACTGTAAACATGAATTCGTGTTTCCTTATTATTTTCTTCATCAAATTTGAGTGAAAAATTGGTTAAAAGCTTAATCTGATAGGGAATACTCCAATCCTTACTCTCTTTTTGTCATTAAATCTTTTTAAAAAATTTCATTTAGCCATTTTTGATGAAAGAAAACATCTCCAATCACTATTTTTTTTAATTATAAATTTTATCAAATTTGAGTAAAAATTAGACCGTTGAAATTTGATGAAGGATTTGGTTCATCTTTGATTTTTTGAAAAATTTACTCCCTTGATTTGATGCAGATTTGATAAAATGGTTGGAGCACACTTTTAGTCATTTTTTCATGAAATTTGAAATTAATGAAAAAAATTGATGAAGGGTCAGATTTGCTCTTATAGGTCCTAAACCAAAATTTAGGGGAATAGTACTTCAAATTTAATTGTTTGTTTTGTATTTCTATTAAATCAGATGTATACAGCACAAGTAATTCTTGTATAGTGTTTTTTTCTATTAAATAAATTGATAATGAACATGGCGGATGATTAGGTTTAATGCTAGAGTGAAGAAGTTAAAATGAACTGATTAAATATAAGAAAGACAGAAAAGAGATCAGAAAATAGAACATTTGACTGTTTTGAGAGGTTAAAAATCGATAAATGATCAAGCTTTTGTATACAGCATATACACTGCATGTATCACTTTAGAAAATAGATTCTTCTCTAATGTCGATGGAGTTAATTTTCCACAATGAGGGGTCAAAAGTGAAACTTTGTTATCATGTAGAGTGTCTGTTAGATGGCACATATACATTGGTATCAGATTGGATTAGAAAGACATTCTCGTGGTACAGTAGGGTCATGTTTCTTATGTCTTTTTGTTATTTTCATGATTAATACGCTAGTAATGTAAATTCATTTAACATCATTTTCTCATACAAAATACAGTCATTTGTGTAAAAAAAAAAATTACCCTTTCAGGCAAAACGATTATCTTAGTTACTTTTTTCTTTTGAATTTATGAAAAAAAAAATTGGATTGCGTATTATTTAAGATGGAACGCAGGTTTTTGAGAAACCGGCAATTTGGCTTGGTTGCTCTTGTTCACCTATTAGGTCATTGTAAGCTTGATTTGGTATCACCTTTTTTTTTGTTTATTATTTTTCTTGATTGATTGTAGGGCAGTCAAATCTCTTGAAGACTTCAATTTTAGTAGTTGGAGCTGGAGGGTTGGGCTCACCTGCTCTATTGTACCTTGCTGCCTGTGGTGTTGGTAAGATGTTTGCTCTTAACGATGCCTGACTAACACCATCAAGAATGAAAGCAGAAAAGCTCATGTTCTTGTGGTCCATGACTCCTTCATGTATTTCCTATTCTCATTTCTATTAATTCATAGTGATCTATTGTTCATTTCTGGTCTTCATGATAATCAAACTGGTTTCAACGAATCTACTCTAAACTGATGGTGCTTCATTGGAACCAAAATAGTTGTTTAATATCAGATCCTTCTGTTTCCGGAACTAATTACTTTGGTGTTTTTAAATTTTTCTAGGTCGCTTAGGTATTGTTGATCATGATATAGTTGAGCTTAATGACCTACACAGGCAGGTACAAGTCTCAATTGTATGCTCATATTTGTAATTCTTGTTGTTTGATGGAGATGATGATGACGCTATAAGTGGTTACAAGAGCTACTCAACTAAGTTCATTTCTTGATGCTCCATGACTTCCATTAGTGTCATGGTTTTGCATCATTTAACTTTCTTTATGCTTGTAAATCTTCACCATCTAACTTCTGTTACTATGCTTCAGATTATTCGCACTGAAGTGTATATTGGTCAATCAAAAGTGGAATCTGCTGCTGCTGCTTGCCGCTTGTATGTAACTTGGTCCGAATTACCTGTCTACTTTGAAAAACCTGATAATGAGTTCCAGTGTCTGTGCACTTATTTTGAACGGATGATCTTACATTGACCTGTCACTAATTATCTATTTGAATTATCTACCGTGATGTTATCTTCTTGCCTATATCTAACTTAGGGTTTCTAATTAGGATTAACTCTACTATTCAGATTGTGGAACACAAAGAAGCTTTACGCACATCCAATGCCTTGGAAATTTTGAGCAAGTATCCTTGATAAAATGAAGTTTATATACCATGATTTCCTGTTTGTTACAGTATATTTGGTTTTATTTTTGGTTTGAGATATGATGATTTCTATGACTTATGCTTCTTAGATATGACATAGCAATAGATGCAACAGACAATGCTCCAAGACGTTATCTGATCAGTGATTGTTGCGTGGTATTGGGGAAGGTAAGCTGCTGCTAACCTCCTTTTGTTTTTATGAAAAGAAGAAAACTTGTTCAAAGACACTATGAAGTTGACTTGTATGTGATTCTGTTTGACTTGTTTAAGATGGCACCCTTAGACCTTCAGTACTTCCACCACCCTTAATTGTGCATTTCAATTTTGTAAGGAAAAAATATTATGCAATTGAATTCTTTATTAGTTATTGTGCTTTATCTTGTTTACATTTTCAGTATATTATTCTCAAGGAGTAGTTTTACATGTGCTTGTGTGCCATTGAAAGAATGGATTAGACTGCTTAATATGAACTTTTTGCACCATTGTCATACATGTTCATTTATTTATTTTCCAAAAATCCTAGATTAAAGGACAGGTTTGACCAAGCTTGTATGTATGATCCAATGAAATAGTCTAGTCTACATGTGTAACTTTTCCGAGTATTAACCACATAATGTTCATGTATATGCAGCCTCTTGTATCGGGTGCTGCTGTAGGATTGAAGGACAGGTAACAATTGTAGCAGCAGTTCTCTTTCTAATTCTTATGTGGACATGTGGAACTCTTTATATGGGGTTGAGACTGTAGGTTGTAATGTATGAACTCATTGTTATATTATTTAAATTTTAGTTTAACTGCATCCTCAAATCATTGGTATAACTTACAGTTTACAATTATGATGGAGGTCTGTGCTATCGTTGCCTATTTCCAACTCCACCACCTGCAACAACATGTCAAAGGTGCTCTGATAGTGGAGTTTTGGGAGTTGGTAAGCCACGAATAATTGTGTTTTAGTGCATCGAATTAGAATTATTGTCTACAATCT